AGAATATAGACCAAGAGTCTATAGATGATGAAAATGAGGAAGAACCTAGACGTAGCAAAAGAGCTAGAACGTCTAAGTCATTCGGTCCTGACTTTCTGACATATATATTGGAGAATGAGCCACAAAGCTACAAGGAAGCTATGTCTTCTCCTGAAGCTAATTTATGGAAAAAAGCCATAAATAGGGAAATTGAATCCATCATGCAAAATTATACTTGGGAGCTGGTGGATCTTCCTCCTGGTACTAAACCTTTAGGGTATAAGTGGATTTTCAAGAGGAAGATGAAGCCTGATGGTTCAATTGAAAAATATAAAGCCCGACTTGTTGCTAAGGGATATAGGCAAAAAGAAGGCTTGGATTATTTTGATACATATTCACCAGTCACAAGAATAACATCCATTAGATTGTTACTAGCTATTGCTGCACTGCAAAACTTAGAAATACATCAAATGGATGTTAAGACTGCCTTCTCAAATGGTGAATTAGAGGAGGAAATCTATATGGAACAACCTGAAGGGTTTATAGTTCCAGGAAAAGAAAAAAAGGTGTGCAAACTTGTAAAATCCTTATATGGATTAAAACAAGCACCTAAACAATGGCATGAAAAATTTGACAAAGTGATGTTGTCAAATGGTTTTAAAATTAATGAGTGTGATAAATGTGTGTATGTGAAAAACACTCAAAATGGATATGTCATTGTGTGCCTATATGTGGATGATATGCTAATAATGGGTAGTAATGATGTTATAATCAAAACTACTAAAAAGATGTTGACCAAAAATTTTGATATGAAAGATTTAGGCATAGCTGATGTCATACTAGGAATTAAGATTTCTAGAACATCAGATGGTCTAGTATTATCTCAATCTCACTATATTGAGAAAATATTAGAAAAGTTTAATAAAGGGGATAGTAGTCTTGTAAGACTCCTGTTGATGTAAATCTTCATTTATCGAAAAATACTGGTCCTAGCATATCACAACTTGAGTTTTCTCGCATTATAGGAAGCTTAATGTATTTGACGAATTGCACACGACCAGACATAGCATACTCAGTTAATAAATTGAGTAGATATACTAGTAATCCAGGAAAGAACCATTGGACTGAAATAATTAGGGTTCTAAGGTATTTAAAATATACTATAAGTTATGGATTACATTATTCTAGATATCCAGCAGTACTTGAAGGATACAGTGATGCTAATTGGATATCAGATACAAAGGATTCTAAATCCACAAGTGGCTATGTCTTTACTATTGGAGAAGCTGCCATATCTTGGAAATCTTCAAAACAAACTTGTATTGCCAGATCCACTATGGAATCTGAATTTATTGCTTTGGATAAAGCAGGTGAAGAAGCTGAGTGGCTTCGTAATTTCTTAGAAGATATTCCAAATTGGCCTAAACCGGTGCCCGCTATATGTATACATTGTGATAGTCAATCAGCAATTGGAAGGGCACAAAGTAATATGTACAACGGTAAGTCTCGACATATACGTCGACGACATAATACCGTTAGACAATTGCTCTCAAGTGGGATAATCTCAATAGATTATATCAGGTCAAAAGATAATTTAGCGGATCCGTTTACAAAAGGTTTGACAAGAGAGCAAGTATATAGTTCATCGAGGGGAATGGGATTAAAGCCGAAAGCTAACGAGTCATCTTAATGGAAACCCAACCTAGTTGACTGGAGATCCTAAGATCTAGGTTCAAAGGGACAACAGAAATTCTGAATGGCTCACGAGAAGCACTGGGAAGATTAATCTTCTACCCATTTCTATGATGAGACAGTGTTACCTACAGCGATGAGTAGGATAAGCTATGTTTTTAATGACGCTTATACCTTGAAAATTCAAGTGGGGTATGGTAGGATACTCTTAATAAGAAGTCACCTATATGAGTGTGAAGTGGGGCCGCTTCTATGAGAACTTCTAAGGCTAAGTTTTCTGGAGCGCTCATAAAATACCAGGTGTTGTTCAGGGCCATATGAACACAACCGTGAGAACCGACTTTGTGTGGGAAGGAATTGTGTGTTTCCTACTGTCTTGGTTTACATCAACGGCTGAACAGTTCAAGACATAATGTTCACTGGTTAGCCAGTAAATTCGATAGTAATACACTAGGGAAGGTTCAAGGCCAAAAGCTACCTATCCCGATGCAGTAACTTTCCAATAGTACTCTCTATAGTGTCTGTATCTGCTCCTTTTGTAATCTGCGCAAATTTTCATTCATGTGGGGGATTGTTGGAAACGGCATTAGAAAACGCAAACTTTGGAAGGATTTTTAAAAAGATTCCGCTAAGAATTTTTGCAAATCTATTAACGAGCGCGTTCCTCTCTGCGAGGAGATGAACGTGGTATATTTATTTTCTCAAATCCATTTCCGGGTGAATGAGAAATTGGCTCCAAAGTAAGTGATTTATAAAGCCTAAATGGGTGTGAATAAAGTGGGAAATACTTGTCCCATATCGAAAAAGTAGCAAAGCAACCTTGAGTATATATATGTCTAGTATAGGATTTGGGTTTGGGCCCAAGGGCACCCAAGTTTTTAAGAGGGGGAGGACCTAGGCTAGCCTGGATCCGAACCAACTACCACACGCGCGCCGCCCGCCCGACCCGACCCGGTCCGGTCCGGGCTAGGGCGGGGCGGGGCTTGATTGTGAAATGGGTTTAACTTTTTACCCAAAGTTGGGATGGGCCTGTGTGGTTGTAATTTTATTTTGTTGATGGACTTATCAAAATAGGCCTGTTTACTGGGCTGAATTAATAGCCGAGTTGGATTATTTGCTTGCTGGACTGGACGAAATTAAAGGGCTGAGCTGGATCAGAATTAAAAGGATTCAGTTTTAATTTTGAACCAAGAGTTGCACCCTTTACAAATTAAAAACCACCAACAGATTTTTAATTTTGATTGGTCAACAATGGTTGCACCCATTCGGACTATGGGTGCACCCATTCAGAATAGGCACCAACAAGCCTATAAATACCCATCATTGGGTTCATTTCAATTCACACCAATTCAGAAATCTTCTTCTCTTCTTCTGAATTTCTTCTTCTAATTCTTCTTTGTTCGGTTCAGCCACTGGTTTGGGTTCAACCTAAACTGGTTTGGATTGGGTTCGAACCTTGGTTTCCAAGTTTCGGTTCAATCTTGGTCTCCGAGTTAGGGTTCAATTCTGGTCTCCGAGTCTGAGTTCAACAGAGAGTACTACACCGAGCCGGTTCGCCTATTCCATTGGTTTGAAGTGCTACCAAAGGAAGAAAAGTCGTTGTATCCTGGGAGATAGACGCCGAAGAGTCCGTTAGCACCGTAGAGGGGCGTATCTGTCTTAAGGCTATAGAATTAAATTCTAGCCTCGACTTTATCAGGTTCTTTTATAGTTTTATTTTCTTGATATTAAACTATATAAATATATATATATAGATTATTATAATAAATATTATATTTACAAATAATATTTAAATAAATTATACTATAGTATATGATACATTATTTTATCAACAGTAAACAGGTGCGAGACAATGACATGTTATGGGTGCACAATCCCTCATAATTCCGGGGTGGATTGTGCCAACTTTATGCATGGGCAGGTGCAAGATAATGGCAAATTAAGTGTGCACAATCCCACGATATCTAAAAAATATTATAAAAAATGTTATAAATGTAGAATTGGTACACACCAAATGACATAAGACCTTTTAGGTAAAATTTAGGATCATATCAAGTGAGTGATAGAGTAAGTCGTTACAAGCCAATTCTAGTAGCTCCATATATGCAGATTTAATAATATATATTCAATTTCGTGTCTCTGTCATATATACTTATATTTATATTTATATTAATATATTAAATATAGGCAGACACAGGGGACGGCATACATGCAGATATAATAATATATATTTAATCATCGTTTGTTCACAGCCTTGAGCTATAATAATATATATTCAGTTTCATGTCTATGTTATATACTTGTATTTATATTTATATATTACATATAGTCAGACATAGGGGACGGAACAAATAAGTGTACGTTCAGATAAAAAGGAGGGTAGAAAAAACATTGTTAATTTTAAGTGAAAATGAAAAACGTTATTTATTTATTTATTTATTTATTTGTGTATGTGTTTGGATACCCAGCAGGGGTGGAAGAGTGAAAGGAATTTTTCAATAACTATAACCCTTCATGGCAAGAAAAGAAATGTAATGAACAACTAACTGGGTAATCATTTTTTTAGTAAAAGGGACAAAACCAGAATTTACTTTTTTTTTTTTTTTTCCCTTGCAAACAGAACCAACATCAAACATTAGAGATACAATCATTAGTGTAATTTATAGAACACAATCATTAGTGTAATCAAAATGGGTAATCACTGGAATACTGGTATCCCATTCTTTCCCTCCATTTTTGAGTTAGCTAGGCTTATCTTTTCAGTATTTTTCCTTTTATTTCCCTTATTATCATGTTTAAGACAATTATAATTGAGACAGGCACTCCGTTTTTTTTTTTTTCAATTTAAATAGAGTGAAAGAGATTTTTATTTTTGATAAATTGTCCTCGTGTGGAAGATTTTGTGAACAATTCAAGGCAAGATCAATCTATGGTAATCTCATATTATGAGCCCAAACTCGAAAGAGTTTGAGATTCACATTTTATTAATTCGACTGATATTTTCTTAAATGTTTATCTTCTGTTTGCCCGTCATCTATGCATGTATGTGTGTGTGTGTGTGTGTATATATATATATTGGCTTGTCCCAAAACTAACCTGTCATCAAACAATTTGTCTTATTACACAAAATGCTAGGAACAACAGAACTCAAACAATAGAATGAAGGAAATAGATGTCACAAACTTTTTTTGTCTTTATAATTTTTAATATAAGCAAGACAAATTTATTCATAGATGTTACATACTTTTTTTTGTCCTTTTGTTTTTAATATAAGCAAGATAAATTTTTTCATATTGGTTACAAAATTGAAAACCAAATTTTCGAAGGAGAAAAAAAAAAAAAAAAACCTTGGAAACTAGATTCGGAATCACTGAAATTTAGATGGAAACAAATACTAATTAGTTGAACGTTTTGGAGAGAGAATCACTTGGTTGATCAATTTGTCTAGGTTCATGGAGGATGACCCAGTTGAACTAGTGCTGGCCTCTTCAGCCAATTTCTTCCACTCCATGGCCTTTTTCTTCATCACTTTCCCCTTATCTCCAACCATTAACTCTTTAACAAGGAACTCAACTTCATCTCTCTTGACATCACTATCTATCTCCATGCCTATGTCCCATTGAGTGCAGCAGTACCAACAGTTGGTCGGTTGCTCTCCAAAAAATGGCCAACAGATCATCGGTACTCCAAAACTTATGCTTTCAAGAGTTGAATTCCACCCATTGTGAGTTAAGAACCCTCCGATTGACGGGTGGGCGAGAACTTCCTCCTGTGGACACCAACTTGCCAATAAGCCCCTTTCTTTTGTCTCAGACACGAACTCCGGTGGAAGGATAGCGGAATCCCCGGCAACAAGATCAGGCCTCATTACCCACAAAAAAGTCTGGTTACTATTAGCAAGTCCCCAAGCAAACTCAACCAGTTGCTTGGGTGTCATGACAGTGATGCTTCCAAAATTCACGTAGACAACTGAGTTGGGTTTTTTCGAATCGAGCCATTGAAGACACCCAGACTCTTCTTTCCATAAATTTGATCCTATCAGCTTCAAGTCATCATTGTCAATCTGGTTGATAAGTAAATGTAAAGGTCCAATTGTGTAAATTGGAGGAAACATGGACGAGAGTGCGTCAACAACATCATGCTCGAGTTCTTCAAATGTGTTGAAAATAATAGCAGAAGCTCTTTTATCTCTCTCAGCTTCATCAATGGCAAACTTTATCATAAAATCATCAGGGTCTGTACTTCTAATAAAAGTTGGGATATCCTTCAAACGTATACCTATCATGCCTGGTATCCAATCTATTACCGAATCCAAACTCATACCTACATTTTTCAGGTGAAATATTGATCTATTAGCACCAAAACTGTAATGTAAAATTATGATGAATTTAGGTCTTAATTAAAAGATACCTTTGAATCCAGCAAAACCCTTTTCAATGAGATTAGGATACTGCACATAACCCATGAAGCCACAAGCACTTGTTGGCCAGAAGAGGACTTTAGGAATGCCCAGTTCTTCGGCAGCTGCGAGAGTGAAGGTCATGGCTCCACCAGAAACTATGCAAGTGACAGGCGGTTCGTTGGACGAAGTAGTGTCATTGAGTTTTGAGAGGAGTTCTCTGAATGGAGCTAAGCAATGTTTTGTGATGGAGGCACACAAGGAAGGGATGTCTTGGGTGGCATCGGTGTCAGACGGAGGGAGGCCATCCGGAATGGTTTCAAATCGAAACGAGGGAAGGGCATTGAGAGAGTCAGGTCCCCGGGATTTCAAGAGGCGTTTATGGTTAAATTCTGTGTTGACAAAGGTGATGTGAAAACCTTTGGAATGGAGTAGTTTGGCTAGTTTGAGCATGGGGTTTATGTTGCCTTGAGCTGGGTATGGTATGCATACTGCATGTGGCCTCTTTAACTTGGGAACGGAACCCATTCTCTTCCTCAATTTCTCTCTCTCTCGCTCTCTCTCTCTTCGTGGGATGCTATTCGCATGCAACAGACTAATTTCGATGCTAGAAAGTGGAGATCATTGTAGGAATTCTAGAGAGAGACAGTCCACCTTTCACTTATACACTGGATTATCCCTTGGACAAGAGAAAGATCCAAACTTTACACTGGATTATCCCATGGACAAGAGAAAGATCCGAACTTTACACTGGATTATCCCATGGACAAGGGAAAGATCCAAACTATTTTTTCACAAAGCTTCCTATTATTTTAGGGTAAATTACACAAAGTGCACATGAGGTTTTCAAAGCCCCAAGTTGACGGTTTGATAGCGGTGAATTGATATGAATTTATGTTTTTGACCTTAGAGTTAGACCATTTGTTTAATAGAAAAAATTAGAAGAAATTGTGTTGGGTAAGTAACGTTTTTGCCCTCCTTGAAAAATATCGTTGGCAGTGGGACTCTCTTTCTTCCCTCTCTTGCATATGATATGTATATAACTATAACTATATATATATACACGCATATGTATATCTCGCCGCCTCTCTCTCTGTCTCTCTCTATCTGCTGAATTCAAACAACTCCTTTATTTGCCTTGGAAAGTTAAGGTTTTGTTTTGATACAAATATTTTTAGAGATATATATATATATATGTATGCATGTATATATTTATACATGTATATCTATAGATATGAAGATTCACACTTTCCCGTCTACACATATATATACACTAATACACGCAGACACTTATTTGCCCTATTTTTTTTTTTTTTTTGGGTATATTTTATTTGCCACTTTTGGGATTTGGGTTTTCAATTTTGGGTCAAACTCACCCTTTACTTCATTCACAACTCAGAAACTCTTTGAAACCAAAGTAGCTCTTGAGAAAATCACTAATCACAACCAAATAGAATCCCAAACGCCACCTTCCATAGGAAAACAGATTTTTGTAGTAAATTTTTTTCCCAAAGGCACCTTCAAAATTGATGGTTCTTAATTCATTTCTCACTATCAAGTTCAAATCTATTCTTTTAATATAGATTAGATATTTTTCGTTACAAACACAATTGTTACATCACATAGATTAATCAGTGCTTTTGAATCCATATATATATATTTATCAATTTCATTAGCTTAAGAAAGAGACTATATACTCTTTTAGAAATTTGCGCATAAATTTTGTTATTCACATTGATTTTTTACAAAATTAGAAGATAGATATTGTATTGTTTTGTCACCTATTCTAAACCTCTGTATTCATATATATTTCGTAAACACAATCCTATATACTCTCTTCTTCCAAACAATGAAGAATACGATGTGTGTGATGACCCGAATTTTTGAGATTTTAATTTATTTATTTTATAATTTTTAGACTCTCTAAACTAATTATTTATTTAATTATTTACTTATATATTTATTAAAGTTAGTGGACTTTGAAATCTGTTGAAGAAGTAAAAAAGGGGCAGCAAGGTGTGGACAAAAAACCAAGAGGAAATGGAAAAGTTTTTCGCAAGGCCCACTAAAAGAGGTTTAAATGAGTTATATATATATATATATATATATATATCTTATGGGAAAAGGAGATTTGGCAGCCGAAAGTGGAATTGATGATGTAAATTGCAATAATCGCGGGACCCACTTGGTGTCTTGTGGCCAAAAAGCTTTCAGCCTTAAATTGTGCACGTGGGGTATTTAGAAAGAGAGAGATATGATATGATTTGTGTGTATTTGAAGATAAGGAAGAATAGAAAAAGATAAAGAGTACGAAGAGATAAGGTAATAATGTGGTGGGACCATTAGGTGATATTTGGAGTGAAGTTTTTGGTTTTGTCTGATGGAAGGGTGATGGGTGAGAAGTTGTAAGTCGGTGGAGGCCATTATAAATTGAAGGAGTAGTACATTGAGTGAATACACAGAATAGAAGAGAAAATTAGAGAGAGAGGAAGGGAGTGAGCTGAGAGAAGACAGAGAGTTGTGAGAGACAGTGAATCGAGAGTTGCAGAAGAGGCCGAAAGTTTGGAGACTTGATGATCCAGTGAAAAATTACTCTTTTTTAGAGTAAGGTTCTCTATACCTTGAATGGTATGGGTATGGGGTGATTTTGTTTCAATGATTTTGATTAAATGTTTTATTAAATGTTTTAATTAAATACATATATATTTTATTTATACTCACCTGTATATGTTTATTTTGTGAAACTGTTTTATTAAACCTCCATGAAATTCTTGTTATGATTTTTCCTACTTGGACTTTTGTCTCACTACCCTTTAGTTTCAGGTACCGAAGATGAACGGAAATTGTTAGATTCGGGCTCAGACTGAAGAGTCGGCATTACATGATTTATTTTATTTATTTGGATATTTTTGTATATATTTGAGGAAATTGATGTTGTATAAAAGTGAACATTTTTTTTTATGATTCTGAGTGTATTTTGATATATTTTGTATTGAATAAACTGAGGATTTTTCTTAGAATTTTTGGGTCATGACAATGAGAGTCTTGAAAATCACTTTCAAAGTTAAGATAAAATGACATCGAAATTGAGAGTTGCGATTAACTTTGCTAAAGTGAGCATCATGGTGCATTTACACGAATGAGCGTCTTTTAGTGAACATGACTGGTTTGCAAATTGTGTAGTCCAAAATATGGTTTAATTATACTATATACTATAGTATTATTTATTTAAATATTATCTGAAAATATAATGTGTGTATACATATATATATATATATATAATTATTATTATAAAATAATAATCTATAATTATATAATTTATTATAATACAAAGTTTAATATAATCAAATAAAAATATAAAATAAAGGAACTTGATTAAAAGTCGAGGCTAGAATTTGATTTTATATCCTTAAGACATATTCACCCTGCAATGGTGCTCACGGATTCAGTGACATCTATCCCCCAGGATACAACGACTTGTCTTTCTCCGGTAGTAGCACTGCAAACCAAAGGAATAGGTGAACCGGCTCGATGTAGTACTCTCTAACTCGAATTCGGACTCGGAGTGACTGACTAAGGTCCAAATCCAAATACTAAGGCTCGAACCCACAGAGTAAAGAGAGAATGAGGAAGAAGAAAATTCAGAAGAAGAGAAGAATTCTCTAAATTTTGGTGTGATTTGCAAATGATCCAAAGGGGGTATTTATAGGTTGTAAGGTGTCTTTTCGGGTGGGTGCAACCATGGGTTATGATGGTTCGGAAAAAGGTGCAACTCTTTGTAAAAAACTAAAAAGTGGTTTTTTAATTTAAATTCAAAAAACTAACCATCCAAAAAATCAACTATTAATGAAACCCATTTAAATAAGCCTAGCCCGAAAACAGGCCCAATCCAAAATTCCATTTAGTAAAAAGAATAACTGGACTTTACAATTAGGCCCAAGCCCAAGCCCAAGCCCAAGCCCAAGCCCAAGCCCAAGCTTGACTTATTTAAACTTCAATTAGTTTCAACATTTTTTCCATTTAGGTTTATCAAACACCTCACTTTGGATATAATTTCTCATTCACCCGGAAACGGATTTGAGAAAGTAAATATACCATGTTCATCTCCTTGCGGAGAGGAACGCGCTCGTCTTTAGATCCACAAAAAATTCTTAGCGAAATTTATTCCAATTCTCATCCAAAGTTTATGTTTTTAATGCCCCCATTTCCAACAATCCCCCACATGAATGGGAATTTGCGCAAATTACAAATAAAAAAGATACAGATACTAGAGAGAGTACTATTAGAAAGTAACTGCATCGGGATATGTAGCTTTTGGCCTTGAACCTTCCCTAGTGTATTACTATCGGATTTACCAGCTAACCAGTGAACATGATGTCTTGAACTGTTTAGTAGTTGATGTAAACCAAGACAATAGCAAACACACAATTCCTTCCCGCACATAGTCGGTTCTCACGGTTGTGTTCATATGGCCCTAAACAACTCCTAGTATTTCATAAATGCTCTAGAAAACTTAGCCTTAGAAGTTCTCATAGAAGCGGCCCCACTTCACACTCATATAGGTGATTTTTTATTAAGAGTATCCTACTATACCCCACTTGAATTTTCAAGGTATAAGAGTCATTAAAAGCATAACTTATCCTACTCATCGCTGTAGGTAGTACTGTCTGATCATAGAAATGGATAGAAGATTAAATATTCCCAGTGTTTCTTGTGAGCCATTCAGAATTTATGTTGTCTCTTTGAACTAAGATCTTGGGATCTCCAGTCAACTAGGTTGGGTTTCCATTAAGATGACTCGTTAGCTTTCGGCTTTAATCCTATTCCCCTCGATGAACTATGCACTTGCTCTCTTATCAAACCTTTTGTAAATGGATCCGCTAAATTATCTTTTGACCTGATATAATCTATTGAGATTATACCACTTAAGAGCAATTGTCTGACGGTATTATGTCGTCAATGTATATGTCGAAACTTACCGTTATACATATTACTTTGTGCCCTTCCAATTGCTGATTGACTATCGCAATGTATACATATAGCGAGCACATGTTTAGGCCAATTTAGAATATCTTCTAAGAAATTATGAAGCCACTCAGCTTCTTCACCAGCTTTATCCAAAGCAATAAATTCAGATTCCATAGCGGATCTGGCAATACAAGTTTGTTTTGAAGATTTCCAAGATATGGCACCTCCTCCAATAATAAAGACATATCCACTTGTGGATTTAGAATCCTTTATATCTGATATCCAATTCGCATCACTGTATCCTTCAAGTACTGTTGGATATCTAGAATAATGTAATCCATAACTTATAGTATATCTTAAATACCTTAGAACCCTGATTATTGCAGTCCAATGGTTCTTTCATGGATTACTTGTATATCTACTTAATTTATTAACTAAGTATGTTATGTCTTGTTGTGTGCAATTCATCAAATACATTAAGCTTCTTATAATGCGAGAATACTCAAGTTGTGATATGCTAGGACTAATATTTTTCGATAAATGAAGATTTACATCAATAGGAGTCTTTACAAGACTACTATCTTCCTTATTAAACTTTTCTAATATTTTCTCAATATAGTGAGATTGAGATAAAACTAGACCATCTGATGTTCTAGAAATCTTGATTCCTAGTATGATATCAGTTATGCCTAAATCTTTCATATCGAAATTTTTTGTCAACATCTTTTTAGTAGTTTTGATTATAACATCATTACTATCCATTATTAGTATATCATCCACATATAGGCATACAATGACATATCCATTTTGAGTGTTTTTCACATAAACACATTTATCACACTCATTAAATTTAAAACCATTTGACAACATCACTTTGTCAAATTTTTCATGCCATTGTTTAGGTGCTTGTTTCAATCCATATAAGGATTTTACAAGCTTGCACACCTTCTTTTCTTTTCTTGGAACTATAAAACTTTCAGGTTGTTCCATATAGATTTTCTCCTCTAATTCACCATTCAAGACGGTAGTCTTAACATCCATTTGATGCATTTTTAAATTTTGCAATGCTGCAATAACTAGTAACAATCTAATAGATGTTATTCTTATGGCTAGTGAATATGTATCAAAATAATCCAAGCCTTCCTTTTGCCTGTATCCCTTAGCAACAAGTCGGGCTTTATATTTATCAATTAAACCATCTGGCTTCATCTTCATCTTGAAAATCCACTTATACCCTAAAGGTTTAGTACTAGGAGGAAGATCCACCAGCTCCCAAGTATGATTTTGCATGATGGATTCAATTTCACTATTTATGACTTATTTCCATAAAAAAGCTTCAGGAGAAAACATAGCTTCCTTATAGCTTTGTGGCTCATTCTCCAATATATATATCAGAAAATCAGGACCAAATGACTTAGACATTCTAATTCTTTTGTTACGTCTAGGTTCTTCCTTATTTTCATCATCTATAGATTCTTGGTTTATATTCTCTTGTATATTGCTATTAGCAATATCATGATTTTTAAAAGGAAATATATCCTCAAAGAAACAAGCATTCCTTGACTCAATAATTGTATTGACATGGATGTCAGGAATGTCTAATTTATGCACAAGGAAATGATATGCACTACTATTTTGTGCATAGCTTATGAAAATACCATCAAAGGTTTTTGGTCCTATCTTAACTTTCTTAGGAGTAGGAACCGCAATCTTAGCTAAACACCCCAACACTTTTAAGAATTTATAAGACGGTTTTTGACCTTTCCATAATTCATAAGGTGTCACATTTGTTTTCTTTTGAGGTATTTTGTTAAGAACATAATTAGCAGAGAGTAAAGCTTCCCCCCACAAATTTTGGGTTAAACCAGAACTTATCAATATAGCATTCATCATTTCTTTTAAGGTACGATTTTTATGTTCAGCAACACCGTTCTGTTGAGGTGAATAAGGAGCGGTAGTTTGGTGAATAATACCATGTTCTGAGCAAATGTCAGTAAATGGTGCTTCGTATTCACCACCTCTATCACTTCTAAACACCTTTATCTTTTTACCAAGTTGATTCTCAACCACATTCTTGTAATGTTTAAACATTTCCTGTAACAACCCTGGATTTTTTTAACCCAGTGTGTCCTGTGATGACCTGAAACGGATCCAAAATGCGGAAGCAAATGATAGAAAAATGGTCTCTAAAGATACAACACGTCTCTAAGACACCAATGTGACCCTCAATGAGGTCACGGAACCCAAAGAAAACAAATGCGGAAGCGATGTTTCAAAAATGGACAAGAATGAACCTAGGGGTAAAATGGTCATTCCACACTGAAATGGGTGCCACCGTGTACACAATTGGAAAGACAACAAAAAATTAATGAATTTAGACTCAAGAATCACCTGATTCGGAGTCCAGACGACAAAGATATCAAGTTCTGAAGTCAAAGGAAGGGAAACCCTATCCCGATTCGAACCAAAAACAGACACTACCTTTCTAAAACTTGAATATCTTGATAGACAAGAAGAATATGAAGCTCTAATTGGTACCATTGGAAAGCTTATTTCGACGCGGTCAATTTAGACTCAAGAACGGACCAATTCGGAGTTAAAACGAAGAAGATATGATGATTTGAAGTCGGAGGTGCAGTGCTGAACCAAGACACACACACACAAACACCCGTGAACAGTACCTTGAGTGCTCGAGCAAGGGCTATGAGCGCTCATAATTAGCCCTAAGAGTTCTGTCCAAAGTTGGAACGCTCGAACCCCCCTTGGAGTGCTCCTTCTACTGTAGGTTGCACCTGAAATGCCAACTTGAAATGCAATTTTGAGGACTTTCTGGGCCTTTTAAAAAAAAACACAAAGAAGAAACCCCCCTCAAAATCATGTTTTCTAGCCAATGATGCTAAAATAAAACTTTATTTTTTATGTGAAAACCTCAAATGTGACCAAACATACATTTGACCCCAAATGCACTTCTAGGATGAAATGAATATGCACGCAAACGTAATAAGTGATTTTGAGCACGCGGGAATGGTCTGCGGCTCCCGAAAACGACCGA